CCCTCCGCCGAATAGCTGGACGTGCCGCCCCCCTCCGGAGTGGCCGCCCCAAGCACCTGCTTGCTAAGCTGGTGCCTGGAGCCGGCCCTGCCTGAGAGAATCTAGTGTGAGGCTAATGCTGACAAGCAGGAATGAAAAAACACTGTCAGATTAGAAACTCCATTGCTCCCCAAGTTCTAAAATCAGCTTGATAAGACTAGCAGGGGCTGAGGGAGAGGGGAGTTATAGAGATGAAATAGAGCCATTCTGATCTAAATGAGGAAGCCAAGCCAGGAGCTGGCCGAAGAGGTGACTGGGCCACTGAAAAATTAACTGATTGACATCTTACACTCTGCAAAGTACTGTACAGAGCAATTTATTGAGATTGAAATCAGCACATTTCAGTTCTCTCTCTGACTGCTAACAGCACCATCAAGGCAGGAAGAGAAAAGCTCACCCCTGCATGCAGCAGGCAAAACCTTACTTCAAAGCCTTCATTGTGCTAGGGCTGGAAGCACAATGGTTTGTAAGGCTGACCAAGGGAGGCAACCTACTCTAGCTCTTAAGCTAGGAAGGCCTCATTCTCACTGGGTAAATGCAGTTGCTGGCAAATTCCATCATGCACACAGATTGTAAAGCACCTTCCTACCCACACGCTTGCCTCCTCCCCCTCCCCTACTCATGTTAAGTAGGTGGGTTAAGTGCATGTTGATTATATAACATAGGGAGCCCAGCTCTGCGCACCACTTCCGCCCAGAAAACACCACCAACCAAAGTTTGCTAATCCCCCTTCTGCTGCCTCCACAAATAAACAAGGTGCCTGTGTTTTGGGGTTTATTTCCTTCTGCTATTTCATTTTGAACGAGCACTGTAAAGATAAGCTGTCTCTTTTCTTGCCATGGACTAGATATCGAGCACAGCTCTGCCTGAGAGAGCAAGGTGCAGAGGGAAACACCCTGAGCACGTAAGAAGCAGTATGACCTAGTGGACAAGGCACTGCACTCAGGAGTCCTGTGTTGGCAATTCATCTGCTCTGACCTTGGACAAGTCACTTCTCTTTGTGCCTCTGCTTCTTCTCTCACCCTTTATCTGTCTTCTTTAGAGTGCAAGGTCTTCAGGGCAGGAACTGTTTCTTACTGTGTTTATATAGCACCTAAAGGAATGGGGCCCTCCTCTTGGTTGGGACCTCTGAGCACTACTATGATACAAATAATAATAGCATTCAAATGCACAGGGTTAAACTGTGGGCACAGGGGCTTTGTGGGAAGAAATCTTCTAGTAGCGCATCAGAGTAGTCTCTTCTGTTAAGATCAGGTGAACATATCATAGGTGATCAATACCTTGCAATTGCAGAGTGGAGACTAGTATTGATTAGCCATAATGGTGCTTCTAGGGGTATAATAGCAAATCATTCAACTAAGGAATCTAAATCAAACAACTACTTTGTGCAAGGCCTTACCCTTCATATTTCCCCCTCCTTAAACTTCATTACAGCTCCATTTTCCTGTAATTAAGGAAGGAATCGTAACTGCCCTGAGGAATCACACCAGGAAGCCCATTTCCTTCTTGCTCAAAGGCCATCGGCATACAGCCCCAAACTCCTTTTAAAAAGTAGCTGAGATGAATGTTAGAAGGATCAAGAAATAGGCAGATCAAATAGGTCAACAAGCAAAGCAATAGAAGTCTGACATCTGCCCAGCTGAATGATTCAGCAGTTTCTGAAGCAACCCTGAGGAGAGTGAACCCTTCACAAAGATCCTTCATTGCTGACGCAATAAATGCAGCAGAGTCGCCCTCCAGCTTGGCAAAAAATGGGACGACAGGCATGTTTTCAGCAGAAGGCTAGTGAAGGGAGGATGGGCCAGTTAGCTCCCATTTAAACAAATTGAATGGGTTGCTATGGAAACCTTGAGCATTAAAAAAAAAAAAGGAATGCAGTTTCCATTTCGAGACTGAAAGTGTTTATGACCTGAAAAGGCAAAGCTAGTGTTAAATGCTTTTTAGCCAAGTCAATGATGCCAGCACTTGAGGAGGATATTCTGGGCTGCACGAGCACCTATCATCTGTCACTTGTCCTAAACCCTATGATGAAAATCTACCCCTTTCTGCCAGGACTGTTGCACCGGGCTCTTCAGCGTAACCCCTTCACTGCTGTCCCACCTCTCTGTGAATTAGTGTTCAGGAGGTAACTTGGCCACATCTATCAGACCCAAAGGGAGAAAAATAAAAATGGAGGGAATTAATCTGACATGGTACAAATGAAGTAAATCTAAAAACACCCTACCCTCGAACAGAGATTTTTCCATAAAAAGACACACGTCAGGGGTGCCATGAAGCCCACTAGAACCATACTATTACTATACATTTTACTTGGAAGGTGCTCAGATACTACAGTGATGGGTAACAATATAAAACCCCAAGGTAGTTTCATATGCAACCTAAACCTCATCAAGAGGTTTATACAGGAATACTCAATGCAAGTACTAGAGGAATAAGGGTTACAGCAAAGAATGGGGAGACAGGAAGTATTAATGTGATATAAGGCATTAACTTGCTGTATGACTGTGGATCAATCAGTGCTAGTTTCAAAATGGCCACCATTTTGCATTGTTCTGAATGGGAGAGAGAGGAGAGGCCAGAGCTCATCCATACCAAAGTTGGCCACTGCCTCCATTATCCTACTTCTCTTCACCATCCCTCAGGGGAGCTTGGTGTCACGCATCTGGAACAATAGGAGGTAGCAGTCATTTTGAAAGAGGGCATCTTAATGGAGGACAATTTATAGCCTCACTTCAATTGAAAAAAGTGTGAGATGATGGCCATTTTGAAAGAATGCGTTCTTCACATTTCTCTAAAGGAGAAGATTTTAATGAAGTAGCCTCTGCTGACAGATAAGCATTCAGTTATATAAAAAAAGGCTACAAAAAATTACCATGCATCCTAAGTATATTTTTTAAAAAATACCCATTGTGCTGCACTATGTGTTGTGCACTATGCACAATGTGCTGCAATCTAAAGCAGCTGTAAACCCACTTTAAGTGGCCAATATGTTCAGGCTTCTCTAGAGTGGTGTATAGCAACCAATGCATCCTAAGGAATTTGGCCCTAAAAGGTTAAAAAAAATGTAGATGTATTTTTAGGTAAGTACCTATCTTCATATTGTTATAAATATCATATGGCTAGATTCTCTGAGTTTCTTGTTTTGTGATCAAGTATGAAAATGTTAATTGAAAAAAGATGGACATTCCATATCAGAAAAAATCTAAAGTCTTCAAAAATCAATTTTAATCTGGGACCACAAACGCTGCAATGTCTTGATTATCATCACATGCTTATTGCATGGTGTCATTAGAGGGCAAAGTTAAGGATGCCCTGAGCATTTACATATCTTGTTTGGATTTAAGTTTAACCTTGCCTCTGAATCTTCTGCTTATTTAGGGGATAATTACAATATATTTTATCCTAGATTACCGATATGTATTTTCAACCTTCACTCCCTCTCTTACTGTAGATTTTGCCTGGGAATACTATGTAGTCTATTATACAGGCCTAGGATGAACGAGAAAGACACTCTGGCGAGTGAGGGGTATACTCTAATTCTAAAAAAAGTCTTTTGGATGAAATATTTCATATTCAGTCTCAGAGAGGATTTTTTTTTTCAAATCTGTAAAATCAGAACAAAATCCCTTCAACTACCTTTGAGTTATCAAAAGGTAAAATACGAAATTTTCCATTTAAAATAAATTTTAGGCCACTGCTATACTCAAAGAATGAAAAAAAAAATGGCTGAAGTTTATTACTTGAAATTTCAGTTTTGCTGATCCTCAGCGAGGCCTAGGCCTTTCTGCTGTCAGGACCCACCCTCCCATCCACATTAAATCAGCATTATGAGCATTGAAATCTTATCTTTGTGCATGGTAACTTTGGGAGCTATGAACTATCAGGGCTAGTATCTACACAGAAAACTTCCTCTGTAGATAGATTTCAATGTAGAAACAGATTCTGAGCCACATTCTCTCTGCCTATTCTGGCCATTTTCTGCTGCTCAAGGAGTGCAAAATGGTAGACGGTTGCCCTACCCGGCTAGCTGATTATTTCTCCAGTGTGGGGAAGTTTTCACCTGGCATAAAGAGGCATTTTCAGCCTTTATGCCAACTACCCCACCCACACGATGTATGGGACAGGAGAGAGCATGACACAGCATACTTTCACTCAACCAATTCTCAACTGATGTGTGTTCCCAGAGGAAACACAGCCAGTTGGCACAGAAGTTAGAGCAGCCCCTAAGCTCTGCTGTACCAACTGAATCTCAGCACAGGAGAGAATCTGGGTGCTTATGCATGGCTTTTAAAGTCTGTAGGAGATGACCTCTCTACCGTGAAGCTTTCAGCACCTCAAGAGAAGGATTTATTTTTCTTGGGAATCCCACAGGGAAATTAAAATATAACTTATGTTAAGGTTACAAATCTCATGACTTCTAGAGTTTAAGTGCAAAAACTGTGGTTCTCATACTGTAGTAATTATTAATACAGCATGTGTGTTGTATTGTCAATTTCTGGATTGGTATCTAAATGTCTACATAAATATGAATTTACAGAAACCACAAAATATACAGGATGTGTAGCATGGATGAGTTATTCTTCCATTTCCTCACTTTTTGAGCATTTAAATTCCTAACCTTAATATTACTAGTTAATAGAGAAACATGCATTAATGTCTCAAAACCCCAATCAATGGGCATAGAGAAGCCAGTGGTAGGTTTAGAATCCAGTGGTCAGACCTCCAGCTACAGTAAAATGTCAGAGCTCCATTGACTTCAACTGAGCTACAACAATTTACACAACTGAGGATCTGGCCCTGTCTCTGGACATGGCAGGGTAAGGACTCTGTCAAGCTTAACACACACTTGCAGTTTATTCAAATAGGCTGATGTCCCCTTTCCCTTTTTCACACTTTACAGGCAGAAGTAAAGGCGGCTCACTATCTGAAGTAACCATTGGACTGTGCTTCTGCCTGGATGTAGTGCTGGGCAGCAATGAAAGTTACATACCTAAGTACAAGCCTCTGGCAGGAGTCAACTCAGGCACCTGGTTAAGGAGAAATAGTTCTTTTTGTAGGAACTACATCACCCAACATGGCACCAAGAGTCTGCGCACAGCACCAGATGACAACAGAAAGCAAAGCAAAGCAAATGGCTGTATCCTTCAACACCAACTTCTTGTAGTTTTATCAGACCCTTCCATCTGAAAGTAAGAAACCGAGTCAGGATAACGTCAGGAAACCAGGGTGAAAAAAACCCACAAAAGCATCTAAAAAAACCCTGGGTTTATCTACATAACCTCTTCATTTTAATAACTCTTTCCCATCAACATTCATGCACTTTAGAAATACAGTTTTAAATGCTGTACAGTGCTTTAGGCAGACATCATAACAGTATTATACTCGTGTGATTCACTGAGAAATCAATTCTGCCCAATTTAGAGCTTGAGTACCGCAGTGGCTTGAGAGTTTATCCTTTACAATCACCAATAAAAATGAAAATTTACGCATAGCAGACAATTAGTCACTTGACTGTTGTCAGCAGGAAACAATTTTCTTCCATAATGTAGGACATAGCACTGGCTAATCAGAAGCAGACTTTTTCTAAATGCTGACTTACTCTGACAAGAGAGAGGGGCATCATCAAGCTTAGCTTAACTGATGTGAGACAATACAGAGAATGTTTATCAATGCTTGTGGTCCCACATTATATAGAAAATGAACATGTACCATCCTGCAGCCTAGCATAGCTGACGAACAAGTAACTGTAGAGAGTATTTAGCCACATATGGGCATATCTGGCTTTGCTTAACAGTGACCATGAATTCATTGGTTACAATAGCAAGCAAGACAGGTAGGCAAGGCAAGCTTTTAAGAGTTCCTGCAAGACTACCTAGAATTGGGTTTTAGCTGCTGTTTGCCTGTCTGGAACACAAGAGGTTTGATGGAAGTGTTTTTCACTATAACCTGAATTTGTGAGATTACACATATATACAGAAGAATTTTCTAATGGTCAGAGAGCAGGATGAGGAGTCAGGAATGGTGGGTTCTCATAACAATGGGGAAATAATTTAGGCTCAAATCTTCAAACGTAGTCAGTAGTTTTGGGCACCCAATTTGAGATATCCAAGGCCAGAGTTTCAGAGGTGCTGGACACCCATAACTCCAACTGAAGTCAATGGAAGTTGCAAGTACTCAGTATTGCTGAAAAATCAGACCCTAAGTATTTCAAATACAGAGTCTCGAAATCTGAAGCACCCACAATCCTTGGCCACTTTTCACAATGTTGACCTTAATTTCTTTGCAGCTTAGATTTCCTATTTATCAAATGGAAATAATATCCCTCAACCTTGTCGGGGTGGTGTAAGGCTTTATTTATGATTATTATTTATAGTGAAGCAGCAAGGCAACATAGTCTAGGGGGTAAGGCACCAGATTGGTAGTCAGGAGACATGAGTTCTACTCCTAGATTTGTCATTGACTTGTGGGTAAATCCCTTCTCGTTTCTGTGCCTGTTTCCCCTCACACTCTTGTCTGCCTCACTTATCACTTAGGGCAAGAGCTGTTTGTATAACACATAGCACAAAGGAGCCCTGATCTTGGTTGGGGCCTCTAGGTGCTACTGTAATGCAAACAACAATACAACTTACCTCCTTTGTAAAGTGCTTTGTGATCTACAGAGTAAAAGTACTATGTAAGAGCTAGGTTATAGTATTTAAGGAAGGCTACGATTTTGTCATAGATATTTTTAGTAAAAGTCCCGGATTGGTCACGGGCAATAAACAAAAATTCACAGAAGCAGCGACCTGTCCCTTTTTACTAAAAATGTTCATGACCAATGGGGAGGGAGAAGGGTCCAGTATCCTGCCCTGCTGTGGCTGGAAGCTGCGGCCCCTGCCCAATAACTGGGAGTGACCCCAGCCCATGGAGGCTGGGGAGCTCCTGCCGCCCGGGGACCTCTGGGGGGATCCCCCCCCCCCAGGCTGGGGAGCTCTGAGGGTTCCCCTGCTGGCAGCGGTAACTGAGGAGCTGCTGGGGGTCTCAGGAACTGGGGAGCTCCGGGAAATTCCCTGCAGAAGCTGGGGAGCGGTGGGGGATTCCCCTCCACTCTGGGCCGCAGGGGTACTCCACAGCTCTCGGCCACCACGGACAGTGGAATACCCTGCAGCTCCCAGCTGCTGCAGGATGAAGTCATGGAGGTCTGTGGAAGTCACGGAATCCGTGACTTCCGCAATCTCCATGACCAAATCGTAGCCTTAATTATAAGTGCACCAAGAGCCTCTGAGTTGATGTGCTATGTAAGTGCAAAGTATTATTTATACACACACCTACATGGTTTAATGTAGACCAGCATGACAGGATTATTTTCTGTTACTTGTCTCAGCTATAAAAACCCATTCACATTTTGCCAGGGTAGTGGGGTGGTGGTAAAAAAGCACTGATCACTGCAGCTGCTTTCCCATGGGTGAACTCTCATATCTTTAATTTTATGCAAGCATTTTCACCTCTCTCAAAAGGGACAGGTCACTATTGTTTTTTAAAACCAAAACAAATTAGCAAATGAATTAGCAAGATCAAATAGCATCTTATGTCTGAAAATATGACAGTATCATCTGCATGTTACAGGAAATTTGTGACTGTCACAGTTCTTCATGACGACAGCTCTGTTCCCTTCTCCCCATCAGATGTTTGACAGTAACTGTGAATCCATTATGGCTTCTTGCTCCAAACCAGCACCATGTCTGAGGCTTTGGATCAGATGTGATGTTATATCCAGTAATATCCAAAACAGTTGTCTTCATTCACCTTTGCATTCCCTCAGGGTGTGGATAAATGGTCCTAAATGTCAAGTTTATCCGTGGTTCCCTGGCATGATATTCCTTAGGTATCCGATGCTATAAACATGATGAACAAAAAGAATATGGGTTTGCATAATTAAAAACACATTTAATATTCAAATACTAAATATTTTGTATCCTCATTTTATAGGATGGTGACGTTACTCACTTTTCATAATAATTCGATAAGTCATAAAACCCATGTCCTGACTGCTCAGGGCCATTAAGAAACCCACAGAACTTTTTGTAACAGTAGAGTGGTTAGGCCAAATTACAACTTCATTAAGTTCTGTCTTCCTAAATTGCCTATGCACTTTCAAATGCATACTGTGTTTGTCACTGCCTCACCTAAATGCAGGACCATTACATAGGAGTTTAAGTGGTGGGTGGAGTGATCTCTATATATCACTTGGAGCCGGTAGCACCTTAAAGACTAACAGATTTATTTGGGCACAAGCTTTCGTGGGTAAAAACCCCACTTCTTCAGATGCGTGGAGTGAAAATTACAGATACAGGCATAAATATACTGGCATGAAGAGAAGGGAGTTACCTTACAAGTGGAGAACCAGTGCTGACAAGGCCAATTCAGTCAGGGTGGTCTGATGGTGTGGCTGATATGGTTGGGTCCTATGATGGTGTCGCTAGAGTAGATATGGGAACAGGGCAGGCAACGGGGTTT